TGTTTAAAGAAACACTGTTATTCTTATTAGAATATGCTCTTTATGTTATTTATATTATTTACATGGATGTTGGTTGTGAATTACATAAATTGCATCTGCTATGTTAATATTTCACCTCTATAGCACCAGCTTTTCTGGGTACCGTATTTTCCAGCTTATAAGACAACTTTTGAACCGAAAAAAAGTCAACCAAAAATCGGGGGCAAAAGACCAAAATTGCACAAAAATTAACTGCAGATCTTGACGGCAAAGTCTTTTCTTTGAAGTGGGGGGTAGTCTTATACAGCGAATATAGGCCTAAACCTATATTTTAACTGTAAAATTAGGGGTTCGTCTTATACACTGGAAAATACGGTATATATTAATGCATGCTTCCTTTGTTTAATAAGTTTGATGTATTATTTGATGTAATAAGTTTGATGAAAAGAATACAATAATTAATAAACAATAATGCCAGGGGCTAAAAAACTAACAACTGAAAACCATTTATGTCCCTCAAACTTGCTCTTAGAATAATGATGACATAAGAATTTGGTTTTATTATTATAAACTAGAGCCCTGGTGTATCCACCCTCTCCAATCTGGGACCCTTCAAGGGATATCATGACTTCCTGTTTAGGCCTGATCCCAGTCGGATTGGGCCTACATAGGCAGTTGGACATACCTTTCACAATCTAGGCCTGCTGGCTCCCAACTGCTCGCCTGTCTGCCTCCCTGATTGCCCCTAACCACTTCTGCCTGCCAGATTAATCACGGCTAACCACTCCCCTACCAGCCTGATTGATACCTAGCTGCTCCCCTGCCAGCCTATTTGCTCCTAACTAACCTCCCCTGCAGGCCTGGTCACCCCTAACCACCCTCCCCGCTGGCCATCTTGTGGCCATTTTGTGTCCACATGGGGGCAGTCATTTTTGACCACATGTGGGCAGCCATCTTGTGTGATGGAGTTATGTCAATTTGCATATTATTCTTTTATTAGATAGGATTAGATAGGATAGAGGCCTGGTGAACAGGTGGGAGCTGGCCGATTTGCCCTGAGGGGTGTCCCGGATCAGGGTGGGGGTTCCTTTGGAGCATGGAATGGCCTGGCGAGGGGCCTGTGGTGGTTTGCAGGCCGGCCATGCCCCCTGGCAACCTAAGTGGAGGCCCTGGTATCTGAGATTTATTTATCTTTCATAATTGAAACTTTGTAGCTTTAAGCAGAGACCAAAGCAGGCCAGGGCTGCGGGAGCTTGGCTTCCTCCATCGCTGGGGGAAACTCAAGCCTCCTGCTCTCTCCTGCTCTGGGGCTGTCACCATTTTTGTTCGGATTTATTTATCTTCTATAATGGAAACTTTGTAGCCTTGATTGGAGGCCTAGACTGGCCAAGGCAGGTGGAAAACTTGGCTTCCTCCATTGCTGGGGAAACCCAAGCCTCCTGCTCTCTCCATGGAAACAGCCATCTTGGTTGTGTTAATTTGCATATTACTCCTTTATCAGATAGGGTGTAGGGTGGGGCAAAAGGAGATTTATGTACCGTATTTTCCGGCGTATAAGACAACCCCTAATTTTGTAATTAAAACATAGGTTTATGCCTATATTCACTGTATAAGACTACCCTCCACTTCCGAGGCAACACCAGTTCTTTTTTTAATTAAATTTTTAATGAATGACATTTTTCGAACATACCGTAATATACCGTACATTGATACGATAAATAGAAGGTCTCTTCACAAATGGCAATGCCATGAACTTGACCGGGAAACAAGAAATCCAAAAGAACATTAACAATGATGGCATCATCTGGAAAGAAAATTACATGAAGAACTTGCAGAAAATGCTTGTTTGTGACTGACTGGGATGATAAGATGTTTTTCTAGGCAGAGGAGCATTGTGAGCTTAAAATCCTTCAAAATCCTCATCATGTTCTTCTGACATCATAAGTTCATCAATGACCTCTGGTGGTACATTTGTAAGACAGTCATCATATGGATCAAATTCCGAATCAGATGGTGTGGCTTCATCTTGCCACAAGAAGTCATCCTCCATACCGTCCAAAGAATTTGATATGGCGCACTTCTTGAAAGACCTGATTACTGTTTCTTCAGTAATATCATTCCAGACTTTTATGACAAAATTACACAAAACATCCAATTGTATCGCACATATGTTTCCTCCTTTTGTGAATAATTTTCGCCATTAACCATCCACTCATTCCACTGTTCTCTATTGCGATCTTTATTTTTTTATTAATTTTTTAAAATATATTTTATTGATTTTGTACAGAGAGGAAGGGAGAGGGATAGAGAGCTAGAAACATCGATGAGAGAAGAGTTATTGATCAGCTGCCTCTTGCACACCCCCTACTGGGGATATGCCCGCAACCAAGGTACATGCCCTTAACCGGAATCGAACCCGGACCCTTCAGTCCCCAAGCCGATGCTCTATCCATTGAGCCAAACCGGTTTTGGCCTAATGCTATCTTTAAATGGCTTGTTTAGGCACACATCCAGTGGCTGTACCAATGATGTCAATCCTCCAGTAATAATTGCCGCATTTGTGTTTATTCTTGCCAGCCTGTTCTTTGTGCTGGTAGTTAAATGAGCCCTGAACATATCCCACACCAGTAGGCTACGTTCTTGACAAAGTCCACCTGGTCGCCTACTCCATACATTATCAAGCCATAGCTTTACCCCTTCATAATCCATCCATCCGTTTTCATTCACATGTACAAAAACTTCAGGGAACTTGATTTTTAGCATTGTTTTTCTTTTAAAAACAATCATTTGTCTTAGTTTGGCACCATCAGCTGTACATGCTAGTACCACTGTAAAACTGGACTTATCATGTCCTGTTGTTTTAATTAACACTGTTTTTGCACATTTTGGATTAACAGTTTTATTTTCAACCATATCGAAATTCATAGGAATTTCATCCATATTTCCCATCTGACTTAATGCATAGCCATGTTTCTTGCGCTGTTGTATTACATATTGATGGAAAAGACTTACTTTGCCGTCAAGATCTGCAGGTAATTTTTGTGCAATTTTGGTCTTTTGCCTCAGTACCAGATTGTGCCTTTCCAAGAACCTAGTACTCCAGGATGCATTGGCCTTAAATCCTTTGCTGTTATCTGGGTTAGATTTGGCCCACTGAAGTGCAAACATACGTATTTTGTTTTGTGTCACTACATAACCATTTTGACAATGCTCAAGAACCATGTCTGCTACATGTCTGGCCAATAAGGGGTGCCTCTTCTTAATGCACACTTAATGCACACTTACTCCTTTACTCTTTAATGCATCTTCATTTGCTTTCCAGTCTCGGACCATCTTTTCTGTTACTCCATATTGTCTTGGTGCAGCACAGTTATTGTGTTCCTTGGCAAAGTTTACAACTTTCAGTTTGAAACTGGCTTCAAATTTCCTTCTTGCTGGAGCCATGATGGGTTCTTTTCTACCAGCCATTTGTTGTACACCCACTAATCTTTTAGGCCGGGATTATACAGTACTGTAGCTTCAGCTACACACAGAATGTTTTATTACGGTACCTTTTAACTCACTGTATGTGTCCTGATACAGCAGCTTTGGCTACACAGAATGTTCCTGTACTGCTACTCTATGTAACACGGTGAGCCAATCACAACAAGCAAAGGTTCAAAGGTTATAATAGACCGCCTCTCTGACTCTGGCCAATCTGAGCAGGCTTTTTACTAGAACACAGTGTAGCTTCGGGTACAAAACATGTATCATTTGCATGCATAAAAAGCCTGCTTGGATTGGCTGAGTTAGAGAGGCGGTCCGAGCAGCCTTGCAGTCGATAAAGAGTCGGAAAATTCGTTTACCGGCATATCCAGATGATTTTCGGGATCGAGTTGGAAAATTTGTTTAGCAGCATATCGAGACATTTTTTGGGATATACTCGGCGTATAAGACGACCCCGATTTTTGGTTGACCCTTTTTCGTTTCAAAAGTCGTCTTATACGCTGGAAAATACAGTATTTTTTTGTGCAAAATAATACAATAATTAAGAAACAATTATACACCAATACATTCTATTTCCTGTATGTGTAACTACTTTGTCCTACTGGGTCATTTATCAGTGATGGAATATTTTGAATGTGTTTGGATTATTTTGTTACAAATGCTCTCCTCCATCCCCCCCCCCTTTTTTTTAATTAAAAAATATTTTTATTTCAGAGGTGGTGAGAGTGATAGAAGCATCAATGATGAGAATCATTGATCTGCTGTCTCCTGCACACCCCCTTACTGGGAATCAAGCCTACAACCTGGGCATGTACCCTGACTGGGAAATTAAACCCTGACCTACTGGTTCATGGGTTGACATTCAACCACTGAGCCACACTGGCTGGGCTGTTGTAAATTCTTTATCTCTTTCTCAAATTAGTTTTGGGTGTACTTTCTGTTGGTAAGTGCTTTAAATTCTTAGCAGATATCACTATTGATTTCATGTAAATTTATTTACTCTTTAATTGCTTCTAATAATTTTCTGTGTAAAATTGGCTTGAGAATTGATTTAATCTTATGCAGTTACGATATAACCTATATTATAATATACAAATGGGGTATTAGTAACATTTGTAGAGATTACAGATTGCCATTTCTATAAACTTAAGCTATTATAGTTACATTGGCTATTAAAAGTAGTGTTTAGGTCTAAAATTCGGGTTTGCTTTTTAAAAATTGAGCATATTTGAATGTCTACAGTAAAATTGCTGAAAAGTTGATTATGGCTTAAAAAACTAAAATATTGTTATGCGTTTATGACGGTAATAAAAAGTCTTAACTCTTTGGTATTCAGGGAGTTGGTACTAAAAGGCAGAGGTTTTTTTTTGCTCAATTATTTGATAGAATAATAATAATAATAGAAATATTTGGGAAATAGATAGGGTCAATAATGAAAAATTGGGAGGATCTTTTTGAAGAAATAATTTGACTTTCACTATTGTATTTGCATCTCATTTTCCTGATAGATTTCTGTTTTGATTTTCTGCTGACAGGTCACATTTAGGGCAGGCAAAACATAAGGGATATAGCCCTCCTGAGAGTAGAAAATCTAATTCTAAGGCACCCAAAGTGCAGTCTAATACTACTGAACTGTCAAGGGGACACCTTTCTAAAAGGTAAATCTTCACATGGCTTATACATTTTCAAATCAGAATTATTTGCCTATGAATTATTGCATAATATTAAAACTTACTAGGTTATACTGAAATGTTATGATATATATTTCATTATTCTCTAATTATAACTTTTGCATTAATGCTTTTTTCATTAACTTTGCAGTGATGCTAGACAACACATTTTTTCTTGCTTAGAGATAGGAGGTTCCCCTTTTTCTTAACAAATCATTATAACCTTCTGAATTGCATTGTGCCATTTACCTTAGTTTCTAATTGTTAGAGCCATAAGTCAATGATTTTTTAAGAGCTAATTGATAAAAGCCTTTCAATGAAATGTAACTATAAAGATTTGGTGATTCTACAATACAACAACTTGTAATTTAATGCTTATGTTAAGCTTAAATAAAGTTTTCTTTGTAAATATACATCAATATTCTATTATAGTTCCAACTGGTTCTGAAAAAGCATTCTTTTTCTTGTAATCTCAGTTCTTGTTTTGTAATTAGGAGTGTTAGTGTCAGTAATCTTTGCAGTGTTTCCCAAACTTTTGACATATGTGTACCCCTTCTATAATTTTCGTAACGCTGAGTACCCCTCGTACTCATGAGAACATAGAATTAGGCGCAGCTAAGCACGGTGCAGTGCATATCCCCACCAAACTCCAGTGCAACGTGTACCCTCATCAAACTCTTCCCGTACCCCTGGGGGTACGCGTACCATACTTTGGGAAACACTGGAAGAGTTAACCTGATCTTTTAATCTTTTAAAAGTCAAGCTTGATTTTCCCCCAAGCCCCCAATTTTGAACCAATGGAAAGGCTATGTTTATTATTGGACTTAGAAAAAAATTTGTACTTTTTTTTTTTTCTAGCACTTATTTTCATACATTTGAGAATTTAATAAATATTATATGACAGGTTTAATGATGGCAGGCTGATATTAACTCTCTTTTTATCTAACTTCTTAGAAGCTGCAGTTCATCATCTGCTGTCATAGTTCCACAATCGGAGGATCCAGACAGAGCCAATACTTCTGAAAGGCAAAAAACGGGGCAGGTGCCTAAGAAAGACAATTCTCGAGGAGTGAAACGCAGTGCTAGTCCAGACTACAACAGGACCAATTCTCCTAGCTCTGCAAAAAAACCAAAAGCACTTCAGCATTCTGAATCACTCTCAGAAACAAACAAGTCACATAGTAAGTCAAAAAAGAGACATTTAGACCAGGAGCAACAACTGAAATCTGCACAATTGCCATCAACAAGCAAGGCTCATACCAGAAAGAGTGGGGCCACTGGTAGTTCACGGAGTCAGAAAAGAAAGAGGACAGAGAGTTCTTATATAAAGAGTGGTTCTGTGTCTGAGTCAACTGGTGCAGAAGAAAGATCTGCAAAACCTACCAAGCTGGCTTCAAAATCAGCCACCTCAGCCAAAGCTGGGTGTAGCACCATCACTGATTCTTCTTCTGCTGCCTCTACTTCCTCCTCATCTTCTGCTGTAGCCTCGGCCTCCTCTACTGTACCACCAGGTGCCAGGGTGAAACAAGGAAAAGACCAGAACAAGACCAGGCGTTCCCGTTCAGCATCCAGTCCCAGTCCCAGAAGAAGTAGCAGGGAAAAGGAACAGAGTAAAACTGGTGGCTCTTCAAAATTTGATTGGGCTGCGCGTTTCAGCCCTAAAGTTAGCCTTCCTAAAACAAAACTGTCTCTTCCAGGGTCTTCTAAGTCAGAGACATCAAAACCTGGACCTTCTGGATTACAGGCCAAATTAGCAAGTAAGTTACAGAAAGAGCTTTTTTTAATTAAGAAAATTTCTCTTGGTTTGTCAAAGTGATCGTGCTTTCAAGATAGCCAGGTATTTTGTTTTCTAGTCTGAGGCCGTCTTCGATTTATTACTGTACCTGTATCTACACAACAGTACATAATAATTGATACCACTTTTAATTTTATCCGGACAAATAATGAATGCTGATTTATTAGCCATGTTTTAGTGTCTATATTTTTATCTTTATGCATCTGCTACTTATTTACTAATATCAGGGTGAGACATCAGTTGCATTTTCTTTTATAACCAAACACTAAATTATTCTACTTATGAGTTGCTGTTGACCAGAATCAGGCATCAAATGTGTTTTTTTGTTTTGTTTTGTTTTTGGTATTGTACATTCTTGATGTATGGAAATACTGGGTTAAGTTATTAGAATAAATGCACCATATAATTAAACTTCATTCACATGTAATATTTTATAGCCTTGAGTAAGTTTAGTCTAAAGGTGAATATTTATTATTTTCATGCACTGAGGCTCTGGGTCCTAAGTAAATGGGAAAGGATATTGCTCTTTTGAAACTTACATTGGAATAAAATGAAAGAATGTTTGAGAATAATATATTCAAGTAAAGATCAAACTAGATGGGAGAAAGGGATCTTGAGATACATTCTCCCTCTCTTTTTTCCGAAAAAAGTCTTCAGGAAGCCAGTTGTTTATTTCATTAGAAATGTTTGATGAAACTTTTTAGTTACACATTTGCTGTAATGCTCCAGTGGTTTTGTTGTTTGTTTTTCTATTTTGAGAAATCTAAAAAACACAGAGAATAATAATGTGCTTATCTACAATTTTTTGAACATTTTATTTTTATGATATTTAACCAGAAGCTCAGTTTTGACCATCTTTTCTCCTTTTGAGCTGTCAGAAAATTTTAGATCCACATTTTCATAAGACTGGATTTTTTTCTTGGTTACTAAAAGATTTTATATAGTGTGTACTAGTAATCTTCTCATAGTTTAGCTAGCATTGAATCAGCCTAACCTAATATTGAATTAGAACTAAATGTTAGCTCTGTTTAACCCTACAACTTATGACTACTTTCAGTTGATTCATATAAGAATCGTAGTATGTACAAAATAAAATCTTATGTTTAACCTGTATCATAGGGTTATTGTGAAGGTAAGTAACATCTTTTTCTCTTAGGCTGTAGAATTTTGTTTCTCGTCTGTATAAAACTTTTTGAATTTGAAGGTATAAGCCTTGTATTAAGATCAAGATTTGTATCTTGAAGTCAAAAGGAAATAAGGGGCTGGGTTAAAAAGGGATGGATAACTGTCCATTGGGCTACCAAGGTTTTCTTGACAATTGTCATTATCTCGGCTTTTATACCTCTTTCCTCTCTGCTTTTAAGTAGAAGCATGTGTGAATCTGTGTTTGTGTGTGTGTCTGTGTATGGTCATGTCCTCATTGTAATGCCTCTGTGATCTTAATAGACAGTGGGCCAGTCTGAGTTTACAGCGAGTTTCATGGTATTCACTCCTCATCTTCCTGTCGTCCAGTCTGCTTCACTTGAAGAGCTCATCTTTTTCAATTTTATTTCTAGGAGGGTCCAGGCCTTGGTGAGATCATATTGTTGTTGAGTATCATGTTGATTTCTCCCCAGAGACCAGCTTTCTTGTTTTAGGCAGAACTTTCTTTTTTCTTTTTTCTTTTTTTAAAATATATTTTATTGATTTTTCACAGAGAGGAAGGGAGAGTGATAGAGAGCTAGAAACGTCAATGAGAGAGAAACATCAACCAGCTGCCTCCTGCACGCCCCCTACTGGGGATGTGCCCACAACCAATGTACATGCCCTTGACCGGAATCGAACCTGGGACCCTTCAGTCCGCAGACCGACACTCTACCACTGAGCCAAACCGGTTTCGGCGAGAACTTTCTTAACATGATTTTTAAAAGGAAGCTCAACCCTACCAGTGGCTGATGTATTTCCTTGATTGTGAAGTTGCTTTCAGTCAGGAAGCACTCTGAGTTTTGACACTGCCCCTGCGCCATAATAAAACCAGTCTAGATAGTCTAACTCCATACATGGTCACAAACTGACTTGTTAGATTAAAATATATGTGTTCTGTGGTCACTAATAAAGTTTGTACATTTTCACTGCCACTGTCCTAGTTCTAAGCTCTAATTATAGTCTAACCTGTTGAAACAAGAGGAGGGAACCAGAATGTGTTTAGCATCTAATAAGTCCCAGGTATTTTACATATGCATTCATGATTAATTTTAAAAAGTAATGCTTAGTGATACTTATTAAAGAAAGTTTATTCCAAGAAGGTGAAATAACTTGCTCAGGTTACCTATTTAAGTGGCAGAGTTAGGATTCGAAGGCAGAATTCTATGTGACTAAAGCTGTTACCTTCCTTGCTGTGCCAATGTTATTTTTCACCCATGTTAGTTTTCCCTGTTTGCAGCATCTTTGAATCATTAAGAAATGTTAAGATCTCAGAGGAGATAAGATTTAATCTTTAGGAATGAATACCTTTTGAACTAGGGATTCATATCATCCTATTACTACTTATTTGCTTCTTTTCAATTAAGTGAAAAACATTTCTAAAAATAGTAGGAAATATTTAATATGCTTACAAGTGTCTGACAACTTTTAAATACATAAATCATCTCATTTACTCTTCACCTTCCCTGTGTGCAGGTATTATTATTCCCTTCTTACAGGTAAGGAAACTCAGTGTCATTTGTCAAATTACCAATTCATGGACACAGAACTAAGAAGTGATAGAAGCAAGAATTAAACCCAGGCTATATGAATAGGACTCAAAGGATTGAGGAATTTGGGTGAGCTAAATTTTAGGAAGGTTTCATGAAGTCAGATGGGCAGGGTGAATTGTAGCCACGATTGTGTCATTTAGGAAAGAGTTAATGTTAAGAAGCAGTACTGCAAGAGAATTGGCAGTACTTGGTAATTTTATGTAAAACCATGGGAGCAAAGTGTGATATCCTGGGTTTTAAGTAATGGTATATCGAGAACAGAGAGCTCTTAATAAAATACAATCCTGAGTTTAAACCCTAGTTCTGCCATTTTATCACCTAGTGACTATGCAAAGTTTGTAACTTTCTCATTGTAAAATAGGCACCATACCTATTTGAAGAATAAATATGTGAGCATAGTACATAAGTTGCATAACTAAATTTAGGATGCACAGCTGAAGTTGAGAATCTTGAGAAAACATATTCAGAGTAGTATTTTGAGAATGAAGGATTAATAAATATCATTTGTCAGTTTTAAATGTTTCTCCTTAGATTTGGAAGACCTCGATTTGACTTTCTATTATCTCCTTCGAGTTTTGTGAGGCTGGACAAATCATTGGCAACCTAATTCCTAATCGTATTTGAAAAGTGGTGATATTCATTTTTTGTGAAGCATAAATAGAAGAATGTATTTGAAAAGAGTTTTACAAAATTAAAGCACCATAGAAATAATGGCGCATGAGAGTTGTTGCAATATATTTGAAGTGCTTTTGTATGCATCAGGAATTTTTCCCCTTAAAATATTAATCCAGGGGATAGAATTTGATACAATGGATAGAAGTTGAGATTTCTGATTAGTAACTTTCAGGGAAACAAAATCTGTAAATTACCTTAAGGGTGGATTGGATCTACACTTTGTGCCATATAGAGTATTTCAAATTGGGTAGATTATTTGTTTCCTTCTTTTAAGAATCTGTGAACCCATTAATTAGAATGCAGTATTTCCTAGGTAAAGTCTCATCCTATCTAATAGAAGGGTGATATGTAAATTGACCATCACCCCAACACACAAGATGGCCTACAGCAGAGGGAAGTTGTGGGTGATCAGGCCAGCAGTGGAGGACAATTGGGAGGGACCAGGCCTGCAAGAGAGAGCAGTTAGGGATTACGGGGCCAGCAGGGGAGGGCAGTTGGGGCAATCGGGCAGGCAGGAGAGCAGTTAGGCCTCGATCAGGCCGGCGGGCAGATGTTAGAGGCAATCAGGCAGGCAGGCGAGTGGTTGGGAGCCAGCAGTCCTGGATTGTGAGAGGGATGTCCAACTGCCTGGTCAGTCGGGCATCCCTTAATGAGTCCCAGATTGGAGGCAGTTCAGGCTGGACTGAGGGACACCTCCCCTCCTTGCACGAATTTTGTGTACCAGGCTTCCAGTTCTAAGATAAGATTGGTCAGTAAAGCTTCATGGTAAAGTAGATTTTTTTCCAAATTGTAGGAATAACAGTACTTACATGATGCTTTGTGAAACCCATTTCCCCATGGCCAAATATCACTCAAGGAGATTCAGGTTAGAAATTTTATAGTAACTTCTGCTTAACTTAGTATTTTATACATTTATCTGACCACCTATATTACCTTGGGAGATAGCAGTGTTCTAAGGAATACACTTAAAACAATTAAGTAGGGAGACTTTTCCTGTTTTGGCAACATTTATGGGCTGATAAATGCTTTCCTGGGGAGGAACTGGGGTGGGGGAACTAGTGAGACAGTTACTTTCAGGGCTTCCTGCAGCCTGTGGCTTTCCAGCTGTAGCTGATCAAAATAACTGGGACAAAGGTCATCCTATATCATTGATAGAAGTTTTGAGGTAATACTCTAGAAGGGATAGTGTTTATGTGATAATTTTTAATGTGCATTAGGGAATTATTCTTGCTATGTGTTGTTTAACTTAAGCAAACAGACATTCTTAAAAATTTAGCATAAATGTAAAACCAATGGGGCAGTTTAATGATACAAATGATGTTTCTCTTTTATAATGTTTTCAATATAATATTTTAAAATATTTTCATAATTCATTTGGCTTCAAAATATATTTTGCTAATATACCTTTTTAAATTAAGCTAATTTTGAAGTAATTTGACTTTCAAAGTGTATATGTGTGAATAATAGAAAAGTGATGGATGGCATAGAAATATGACATAGGCAGTAATTTATGGTCAAAATTTGGGTAATTGTGGAGTTTTTACAGAAAAAT